GGGCAAGTCGGAGAGTCAAATGGGAAGCCAACTCCTGGAAGGGGCGGGGCCACAACCTAAGGAGGCTGTTTGTGGGCGGGGCCACACCAGCGATGGGGGCGGGGCGGGGCAGCTCTGCTGCTGCCCTTAACCTTCCTCCACTGCTCCGGGAAGTGGGAGGGCGGGGTGCAGAGTGGATGTCAGGGGTCCTGTTGTACTCCAGGATCCAACCACATTTAATTTTATCTGACGCCCATGTTGCTTGTGGACCATGGGCTTTGTGGTAGGATTTGATCACAATTAAACCCCCCCCCCTCCAATCGTCCTCTCCAGGAATCTTTTTTTTTAAAAAATATATTTTATTGATTTTTTACAGAGATAAGGGATGTTACGAAGCGAGTCCCCAAGAGATGGACCACCGGAGCCAATTTGATTAAGCATGCTAGAATTTATTACAGATTCGAATCTGGACTCAAACCATGGCTGACGCAGCAGCCGGTAAGCACCCAGGTAAGAGCCCCGATGGAGGGGCAGTCCCTCCAGAGCGCTCACACAAAAACACAGACAAACACACACCTACCGCGGCCAGTCAGGCTCTCCGGATCGGGGGTCCCTCATGGTCCTGGCTGGGGATTCCAGTCATGATCCCCAAGGACCACCAGGGAGCCGAGTCCGATGCAATAAACAAAAGAGCCATCTCCATGCTAGCATGGGCTATCCCACTCATGCCCGCAGCATGGCAGAAGAGAGTGAATTTCGCCCAGTCCAAGGGTTTTACTCAGGTCGGTGATGTCACTGCCTCAGCTAACCCTGATTGGCCCCTCAGGACTAAATTCTAAAGACTGGGGACAGCCCGCAGGGTTGGTTCCCAGTCACACCCTGCGTGACACTGGAATGTGGCCCCATCTTGCCCATAATACAAAAGCAGAACTAAAGGTTATCTACAGTTTCTACCCCTGAAGCTACTGAGTCAGTGGGAGTCAATCTCCTGCAACTACCCTATTGTTCAAGCAAGTAATCGAAGGTCGAAGTCAGATAGCAAGGTTAAAATTCAAACAGCAGTTTTTACCCTAGTATGAGTGCTACCATATTTTAAGGGAGAGAGATAGAGAGTTAGAAACATCGATGAGATGAGAGAGTCATCGACCAGCTGCCTCTTGCACACCCCCTTCTGGGGATATGCCCATAACCAAGGTACATGCCCTTGACCGGAATCGAACCTAGGACCCTTCAGTCCCCAAGCCAACGCTCTATCCATTGAGCCAAACCGGTTTCAGCTCTCCAGGAATCTTTGATGTATAAACATCCCTGAGGAAAAAAAAAATCCCTGAGAATGGGGTCGCAGTAAAAGCTAACGCCCTCTATGTGGCCAAAGGCTTTGCCTGGACTTCCTCCTAAAGAAGAAGCAGCAGCCTTGCTCTGATTATTTATAAGGGACTAGGGCCATAGTCGGCAAACTCATTAGTCAACAGTCATATATCAGCAGTACAACAATTGAAATTTCTTGAGAGACAAAATTTTTAAACTTAAACTTCTTCTAACACCACTTCTTCAAAATAGACTCGCCCAGGCCGTGGCATTTTGTGGAAGAGCCACACTCAAGGGGCCAAGGAGCTGCCATTTGCCAGCCATAGGACTAGGGTGGTCCATCTCCCAGGGTTTCCATTGAAGAAAGTCTGCTGGCAGAGGCAGGCTTTGGGCAAAGGGAGAGCAATATTGGGATTTATAAGAAATAGACATGTTGGATTATTCAGATTACTGAAATATACTTATCTTCATCCATAGTTCCTGGCTTACAGCTTCCAAACCCTTCAAAGTTTCTTGTGACAAGAGCAACAAAGGTGTCTGGTTTCGTTAATGAGGTGACTTTTGGATCCCACCCAATAGCAGACAAAACTAGATTTAGACAGACTTTCAGTCCCACTCCTGATTCCAGGAGGGAAAAAGCAGGGGCGGTGCCTGAGGTCCAGTCAATCACCAATGGCCAATGAGTTAGTCAATCATGGCTGCCTATTGAAACCTCCTAAAAACACAACTCGCTGAAACCCGTTTGGCTCAGTGGTAGAGCATCGGTCTGCGGACTGAAAGGCCCCATGTTCGATTCCGGTCAAGGGCATGTACCTTGGTTGCGGGCACATCCCCGGTAGGGGGTGTGCAAGAGGCAGCTGGTCGATGTTTCTCTCTCATCGATGTTTCTAGCTCTCTCTCTCTCCCTTCCTCTCTGTAAAAAGTCAATAAAATATATTAAAAAAAATAAATAAAATAAAAAAAGAACACCTCCTGGCCTTGTTCCTTGAGCTCCCAGGTTGGGGAACCAGGACACTTTCACGTTGCTGGGCCCCAAACTCCAGCACCGAAACTTCTTCCTTCAAGACCTCGCCCTCTGTGTCTCTCCACCTGCCTGTTGATTCAGGTTCTTCAGTTTCCTTGCTAATGAGTCAGTAATCTAGTGAGCGTATGGGTTTTCTTGAGCCTGTGAGCTGTTCTAGAAAATTAATTTAACCCAAGAAAGAGCTCCTGGGCTCTCTGATATGAAGCCAGGGGGTGGGAAGCCAGGGATGGGCCTCTGGAGTGGAGGGTGGTCTGTGGACTGAGCCCGTGACCCATGGGATCTGATCCTCTCTCCCGAGCAGATGGCCTCTCAGACTCCTGCTGTTTGAGAACCGCCTGCTGGTGTGGGGAAGCTTCCACCCATCACGCATTGGAATTGGGTGGCCAAACCCCTTCGGAGGGATCAGTGTAGAGGACAGGAACAAAGGGAGAGCAGAGAAGAGCACCACAGCGCCCCATCATCCCTACTTAGGGTGTCAGCTTGTGTTTCACATCCTCCAAACTTTGCTGCCGCACACACACACAAATACACACACATTCATTCAACAAATCTTTTTTAAAAAATATATATATTTTATTGATTTTTTACAGAGAAGAAGGGAGAGGGACAGAAAGTTAGAAACATCAATGAGAGAGAAACATTGACCAGCTGCCTCCTGCACATCCCCCACCGGGGATGTGCCTGCAACCAAGGTACATGCCCCTGACTGGAATCAAACCCATCAGTCTGCAGGCCAATGCTCTATCCATTGAGCCAAACCGGTTTTGGCCATTCAACATATCTTTCCTGTGCACCTAGGACTGGGGATTCAGGAAACAAACAAACAAAAACCCTTGCTCACATGGTTGCTGACACTCAAGTGAGGAGAGACAGATACTGGGTAAATAATAGAAAGCTTGATGGTGATAGTGCTTCTAAGAAGAATGTAGCAGGGAATTTTAAGAATGTAAAGGTAATTTTAAATAGGGGTCAGGCATCGGTCTGGGGGAGACTGCAAATGCGAAGGAACAGCAAATGCGAAGGCCCTGGGCAGAAATGTGGTGGAGGAGAGAGCGTACACTTGCTGGGAATTAACAGAAGATAAGACCTGAGAAAGAGCCAGATTTTATGAGGTTTGTTGTTTTTCCGGCCAAGGACATATTTTCCTTGGATTTTAGAGAGAGGGGGAGGGAGAGAGAGAAATATTGACCTGGTGGCTCCCCTACACATTCCAACCAGATTGGAACCCACAGCCTGGATATCTGCCCTGACGGGATCGAATCCACCACCTTTAGGTGCTGGGACACAACTCCAACCAACTGAGCCGTGCATCCCAGGGTCACAGTGAGGACCTTGGCATTTCCTCCGAACAGTACAAGAAGCCATAGGAATGTTTTGAGCTGGATTAAATTTCCATTGGAGCCAAATTTTAAATTTCCTCCCAAATAATTTCAAGGGAGCTGCTTTACAAAGGCCAAAATAGCAGCAAAGAGATTTTTTAAAAAACATATTTTTATTGATTTCAGAGAGGAAGTGAGAGGGAGAGCGAGAGAGAAATCAATGATGAGAGAGAATCATTGATCGGCTGCCTCCTGCACACCCCACACTGGGGATCAAGCCTGCAATCTGGGCATGTGCCCTGATCAGAAATCAAAACCGACCTGGTTCATAGGCCAGTGCTCAAACGCTGAGCCACGCCAACAGGGCAGCAATTTTAACTCCATAGGAGATGTTTTCAGTCCTCAAACGACCAGCTGCCGCTGGGGCTGACCCTAACAGGTAGTGGGCAGAGCCAAGAGTGCCAAACAGCATTCAATGCCTTGCCCATTCTCAACTACCAGCTTTACTTCATGCTAACTGGTTCTAGTTTGTGCCTACCAAGTTCTGCATTCTGTTTGTTTTGTTTTGTTAATCCTCACCCAAAGATATTTTTTCGTTGAGAGTGGAAGGAACGGGGAGAGACAGAGAGAGAAACATGAATGTGAGAGATCTATCGGTTGCATCCTGCACTAGAGTCAGGAATCAAGCCTGCACCCAAAGTACATGCCCTTGATCAGAATCGAATCTGCAAGCCTTCAGTCCTCAGGCTGAGGTTCTATCCACGGAGCCAAAACAGCTAGGGCTAGTTCTGCATTCTTGACAACGCAAGGAGAGCAGGGAGGGAAGTTCTAAGCGTGGATCATGAGCCCTGGGGGATCCTCTGCACGCTTTCGCTTTCATGGGGTCTGTGATGTCGTTACTATTTTCATAAATCTCACATGTTACTTGCCCTTTGCACACATTCGCTGATGAGTGTTAGTGCTTTTTCCAGAGGCTCAGTGACGGGTGGCGCTGAGCAGGTTGGATGCAGGAGCCGCCTGTGGTTGGGGGTGGGACACCTCGGATGGGAGCAGACACTCCTCAGACACCAGCACGGTGGCTTAGGTGCATTTTATTGGCTTTCTGTCAGAATCCTCTACAAAAGGGCAAAGTTAAAATCCAGGTCCCTATAAGGCAGCGAGAGCCCTTCCCCCGCCCCAGGCCCTCCACCCTGCTCCCGGTCATGGAGGAGAGGGGGCTGATTCCACCCCACTCAGCGGGCTCCATTACCGCCATAGATATCATACAAGCTTTACATCTGTTACAGACATGTGTTAGAAAGCCGCAAAGGGGAAAGACCTACCATCTAGCACCCCCTACCCCTCAGCCCCATCCCTACAGGAGCCCGCAGTCACAGGAGCCCGCCGTTAGGAACTGGCGCGATCCAGTAGGATTCTAACCCCAGGAAGGCCGTGGCCAGGTTGTAATCCAGGAACATCTGGTCCTCCAGCAGCGCTGAGGGGTACAGCACTGTGGGGTGCAGCGCTGTGGGGTGCAGTGCTGAGGGGTACACCGCTGTGGGGTGCAGCGCTGTGGGGTACGTGGGGTGCAGCGCTGTGGGGCCCAGCACCTGGGAGGGGAGAGACGGCAGTGAGAAGCTGTCTGCTGCAGCCTCCATTGACTCAGGAGGGGGCCGGCTGTACATCGCACAGAGGTGCCACGCTTAAGCGGCTTCCATCATAGACAGCAGACAGGCTTTACATCTGTCACAGCCGTGTGTCAGGAACCAGGACCCGCAGCCCCTCCCGCGCCCACACCCCCCTGTTACCATCTCACTCCCGGGGGCCAGCTGCCTGCAGTCTGGGCCGGGAGGACTCCAGGACGGGCGGGGAGGAGCCGGAGGAGCCGGGGACGGGGCCTCGTCGGGGAGCTGGTGCAGGTAAATGCAGTCCGACTTGAAGGGGCAGCGGTCAGCCCCCCGCGCGAAGTAGCGGCACCGGATCTGGCTGGGAGGAGAGGACACCGTCAGGCCCGGCTGCCCGGGGACACAGGGTTTGAACTCAGCACAGAGGCAGTCACAGCGCTGACGGCACACGCGTTACACCGGCTCTCCAGCAGGTGGCAGGAGCGTCTCGGGCCTTCCTCCGAGCCCCAAGTCTCGCCTCGGCCAGCAGTGACGCTGGGATCTCCTTCCGCCTCTGAGCTGGTCCCAGTAAGGCACCAAAGGAGGATGACAGATAACCTAACACGTGTCTCCGTAGCCACGGTGAGGGGTATGATTTAGCAATTGCTAGTTAACGAAATCGATTAAGAAGTTTCCCACTTCCGCCGGGACCGGTTTGGCTCAATGGATAGAGCGTCGGCTTGGGGACTGAAAGGCCCCGGGGTTCGATTCCTGTCAAGGGCATGTACCTTGGTTGCGGGCATATCCCCAGTAGGGGGTGTGCAAGAGGCAGCTGATGGATGACTCTCTCTCATTGATGTTTCTAACTCTGTATCTCTCTCCCTTCCTCTCTGTACAAAATCAATAAAATATATTAAAAAAAAAAAAAAAAGTTTCCCACTTCCGAGATGGCAGGTGGGCAACTTGTGATCCGCTTTAGTGTGACCAGCTCTCTTCCCGTGAGAAAGGCGGCGAGGGATGGAGTGCATGCCTGCAGCCTTTCCCTGCATTCTCGCTGCTGGATTCCAACACAGCCTCTTCCCCACTCCCTCCCACTGGCCTCCCATGGGGAAGCCTGGGAACCCTCCGCAGGCCCGCCTCCCTCTCTCCCCTCCCCTCCCTTCCCCCTCCTCCTCACACCTGACCAAAGCTAGCATCAGGACCACCCCATCCCATTAGCCTTTCACCCTGTGCACATTCCCACCGGCTGCCCCGCCCCGCCCCTCCCGGACAGCAGCCTGCAGGCCCCAGTGCTGGAGACATTAGTCATCTTGCAGTTTCCTTCCAACCTCGTGGGCAGTTGGCCACCCAGGTCTGGCCCTTCTTCCTCTTAAGTCAGTATCCCCCCTCCCCCATTCACCTCCCGACTCACACTCACACACACTCCCGGCACGCACTGTGAGTCACAGGCCGGTGCAAAGCCACTCCTCACTCCCGTCGCACACGCCAGGCCTGTGTCCTGTTCAGGGTGGGGACATAAGAGCCCCCTGTGTGGAGCTCACGGTGTGTACAAGTCCGTCACACACAATCTAAGGTGGCCAGACCGTCCCTCTTTTGGCGGTACAGTCCCGATTCCTAACAATTTTTCCTGCATCCTGCGGCATTTTAAAAAAGTCCCGATTTTTGGAAAGATTGGAAAGATTCTTTCCAAAAATCGGGACTTTAAGACGCCGCGGGACGCGGGAAAAATTGTTAGGAATCGGGACTGTCCTGCCAAAGCAGATGATCTGGTCTCCTTACAAGTAGCCTCCATCCGCCTGGTCGCTCTCACGCCCGGGCCTGGGTGCGCCCAGCGGCCAGCATCCCCTGCCTGGATCTCTCGCTGCCTGGGGACCCCACTCCGGCAGCACCCGCCCGCCCCCCCCCGCCCCGGGGGACTCAGCCAGGCCTCAGTGTGGGTCACTGGGGGCGGTTACAGTTCTTGGGGAAGATCCAGGTGTCTTCCCAACAAGGCTGAGTGTCTTATGGGTAGACTAGACCTTCTTTATCCCAAAATACTTTGCATAGTGCAAGTGCAATAAACTCTTTGGGAAGGTGAAACTAAGAATCTGATTTTGGATAAATGCCTACCCTTCCCAAGAGATGGAAAACTGCCCACATGTCCCTGTCTGGAGGGCTGCCTGTTAGTCTCCTCAGAGACCCGTTTTCAAAGATCATCTAAGCCAGTGGTCGGCAAACTCATCAGTCCACAGAGCCAAATATCAACAGGACAACAATTGAAATTTTTTTGAGCCGAGACCAGTTTGGCTCAGTGGTAGAGCGTCAGTCTGTGGACTGAAAGGTCCCAGGTTCGATTCCAGTCAAGGGCATGTACGTTGGTTGCGGGCACATCCCCAGTAGGGGGTGTGCAAGAGGCAGCTGATCGATGATTCTCTCTTATCAATGTTTCTAACTCTATTCCTCTCTCTTCCTCTTAAGTCAGTATTCCCTCTGTACAAAATCAATAAAATATATTTCAAAAAAAAAGAAAAGAAATTGTTTTGAGAGCCACATTTTTTAAACTTAAACTTCTAATGCCACTTCTTCAAAATAGACTTGCCCAGGCTGTGATATTTTGTGGAAGAGCCTCACTCAAATGACCAAAGAGCCACATGTGGCTCGAGAGCCACAGTTTGCCAACCACGGATCTAAGCAAACAATATATATTCACACCAATTTGATTTTCTGCTTTAAAACAATCTATATATACCTCAGCAACCGCTGAGATGGAACGATAGAACCACCAGTCGCTATGACACACACTGACCAACGGGGGGCAGATGCTCAATGTAGGAGCTGCCCCCAGCCCTCAGGCTCCCATTGCTGATGGGGCCTGCCAGCCAACCTACTGGTTTCTCCTCCCAGCTGGCAGGCGCCGATTGCCCAATTGGGACCGCCCCAGGGCTGGGACAGGTAACGGGTGTGTGTGTGTGTGTGTGTGTGTGTGTGTGTGTGTGTTAGCAGACACAGCCCTTTCCCAGGGATCAGAGGGTTGGTTCCCTCCTCAGAGCCAGTGGCCAACCTTCTGGGTCCATCCCCCTGTCCCTACCCCCGGCCAGCAGGCCCTGATCGTCTCACTGCTCGCCTGCCCGCTGTGGTGGTAGTTGGCCCCTCCCCCTGGCTGGCAGGTCCTGATCGCCCAATTGGGCCTGGGCCCTGGGCTGGGCTGGGGAGCTTGGGGTGGGTGGTGGCAGATGTGGGCAGCATGGGAAGGAGGAGGTGGGAAGGCGGAGAACCTGATCAGCCCTGATCGCCAGCCAGGCCTAGGGACCCCCCCTGCGCCCGAATTTCATGCACTAGGCCCCTAGTCTGAAACAAAGCCAGGCAGAGGCTGAGTGGCCTGGATCACTTCTGAGCCAGGCTGGAAGAGAAACTGCAGTTTATTCACCCCTCGCCTGCCATCTCCATCACTCTGAACCTCCGGGATTTGGGGGACCCCGGTGGGGAACCATGGCCAAGCTGGAATGGGTCAGAGGCGATGCTCCCCTCTCCCCAAATCCCGTCCCCCTTTCCAGCCTCACCTGGTCCGAGCCCTGAAGTCCCTGATGAGCTGCTCCTTCTCGGCCCCCTCGCTCACCCAGAACTTGTGGGGGATGATGTAGCTGGAATAGACACGGCACTGGGGACAGGCCCTGGAGGTAGGAGACAGCCACACTCACAGGCCGGCCCCGAGGCCACGTCCCTCTGGATGTCCCCCTGCCCCCCGCTGCTGGCCTCCCCGTGACACTGACTTGATGACGTCCAGCGGGAAGTGCTGGTGGCTCTTCCGCCAGGTGCGCAGGCAGCCCAAGCAGTGGGCGTGGGGGCAGTTGGGCAGGATGCCGAAGATCCGCTGGCCCTCCGGCTTGTCCCACACCTTGTCCATGCAGATGCCACACACGACATTCCGGCTGTCCTGCTCCCTCTGCAGTCACGGGCAGGGTCAGAGAACATCATGCACACATGCACACGCACACACACACACACACACACACACACTCACACACACATGCACACACATACGCTGCCACCCCAAATACAGTCCCAGGGACCACAGAGCCCTCCTCCAGCAGGTCTGGGCATCCTAGAGGCCCAGCATGGCCTCCTCTGACCCTCCCCCACCCGTTTCCTGCTATACCTCAAGGTCCATGCTCTGAAGTTGGACCCAGAGCTCCTGGACAGGGTCTGACTTAGGCGGAGACTTCTGGGAGTAGCTGTGACCTCCATCAGCTGTCGGGGAAAACCGGATCCGTTCATTCATTCACTCACTCACAGGGCATCTGTTTGGCGGCTGCATGCAAGCTCTGTGGGTGCACAAAGTCCTGCCCCCAACAGCTCAGAGTCCCATCAGAATGACACTACTGAGTGGCCAGATTATTATGATCTCTGAACGCATAATAATCTGGCCACTCAGTGTATATCCTATATAATAAAAGGCTAATATGCAAATTGGCCTCTCAATCAGGAGTTCTACCAGCAGGCAGGTGGGCCAATTAACCATGTCCCCTCCCCCTGGCCAGGGTGGCCGGACCCAACCCATGCATGAATTCATGCACCGAGCCTCTAATATATATATGTTAGCCTATATAATAAAAGGTATATAGTATGCAAACCTACCGAATGGCAGGACAATTGGTTGCTATGACACACACTGACCACCAGGGGCAGACGCTCAACACAGGAGCTGCCCCCAGCCCTGCTGGCCACCTCTAGGTACCTTCCCCTTAGCCGGCAGGCTCTGATTGCCTGATGGCAAATGGAGAACTGGGGGTGGATGGCAGTGGGCATGGGCAGCACCTGGCCAAGGCTCCTGCCCTGCCAATTGCCCCTCATACAAAGGGTGACCCACGGTGGGGGGCGGGGCAGACAAGCTGGCAGGAATGGCAAACCTCTCAGTCCCTCCCCATGGTCTGCAGGTTCTCATTGCCCAATGGGGAATGGGGAACTGGCGGTGGGTGGCAGCGAGCGATGGGCCACCTGCCAGCAGCCAGGGAAGATGGCCCTGATCACAGGCCAGGCCTAGGGACTGTACATGTGCATAAATTTTGTGCACCGAGCCTCTAGCGTGCACACACAGACACACACACAAACACAGACACACACATACACTCACTCACTGAGTGGCCAGATTATTATGCATTCATAAACCATAATAATCTGGCCATTCAGTGTATGTCTCTAATGCAACTAGTTATAACTGTGCTGCCCACAATGGCAGCCACTTGCCACAGTCTGCTGAGGCCTGAAATGGAGCTGGCCCAATCAGATGTGCTGGAATGCACGTGGAGACTTTGGAGCTTAATACCTAAGAAAACCAAAATGTTTCAGTAATAATTTTTATATTTATATTTATAATTTTTATAAAATAATATAGTATATATACACTAGAGGCCCAGTGCATGAAATTCATGCATGGTAGCGGGGGAGGGAGTGGGCAGTGAGGGTGTCCCTCAGCCTGGCCTGCACCCTCTCCAATCTGGGACCCCTCAGAAGATGCAGTCAGATATCCTTCTCACAATCTGGGACTGCTGGCTCCTAACTGCTTGCCTGCCTGCTGGCCTGATCCCCCTAACTGCTCTCCCCTGCCAGCCTGATCACCCCTAACTGCCTCTGCCTTGGCCCTGCCACCATGGCTTTGTCCAGAAGGACATCTGGTCTAATTAACATTTTACCCTTTTATTAGTATAGCTATACCTCTTGATATATTAGGTAAAATGAAACATTATTAAAATTGAATTTACCTGTTGCTTTTTACTTTTCTTTAGTGTGACTACTAGAAAGTTTTAAATTATATATGTGAATTGTAAAATATGTGAACTTTTGGAAAACAATTTGGCAGGTCCTCAAAATATTAAATATGTTACCATACAGTCCAGTAATTATTTTAAAAAATATTTTATTGATTTTTTACAGAGAGGAAAGGAGATAGGGAGTTAGAAACATCGATGAGAGAGAATCATCGATCAGCTGCCTCTTGCACACCCCCTACTGGGGATGTGCCCGCAACCAAGGTACATGCCTTTGACCGAAATCGAACCTGGGATCTTTCAGTCTGCAGGCCAATGCTCTATCCGATGAGCCAAACCGGTTTTGGTCAGTCCAGTAATTCTGCTTCTAGGTGGAATTACTGGATTGTATGGTAATATTTCTCTACCCAAGAGAAGTAAAAATATATGTCCACACAAAAGGAATGCTCATTAATAATATTATTCATAATAGCCAAAAAGCAAAAACAACCCAAATGCCCACCAATTGATGAATGAATAAAACAGAAGCAGCATGTCTATATAGCAGGACATTAATTGGCCACAAAAAAAAGTATGAAGTACTGCTCCATGGTACATGAAGCTAGAAAATAATATGCTGAGCCCAGGCAGTATTATTTTGAGCATCGACCTATGATCCAGGAGGTCACATTTGATTCTTGGTCAAGGCACATGCTTGGGTTGCAGGCTCAATCCCCAGTGTGGGGCATGCAGGAGGCAGCCAATCAATGATTCCCTCTCATCATTGATGTTTCTATTTCTCTCTCCCTCTCCTTTCCTCTCTCTGAGATTACATATATATATATATAATAATTTCTGCCTGGTATATATAAATTACATAAGAAAATATTATGCTGAATGAAAGAAGACAGACCCAAAAGGCCACATATTATATCATTCTATTTATATGAAATGTCCAAAGTAGGCAAGTCCACAGAGACAGTAGATTAATGGTCGCTAGTGGTGGATGGAGAGTGATTGCTAATGGGTTTCTTTAAAAAAAAATATTTTATTGATTTTACAGAGAGGAAGGGAGAGGGATAGAGAGCCAGAAACATCGATGAGAGAGAATCATTGACCAGCTGCCCCCCTGCACAGCCCCCACTGGGGATGTGCCTGAAACCAAGGCACATGCCCTTGACTGGAATTGAACCTGGGACCTCCAAGTCCGCTCTATGCACTGAGCCAAACTGGTTTCGGCTGCTAATGGGTTTCTTTTTGGAGTGAGGAAAACCTTCTAAAATTAGATAGCGGTAATGTTTGTACAGCTATGAATATACTATATTACATTGAATTACATGCTTTAAATTGTTAAAGTTTTTGCTTGTGAATTATATCTCAATAAGGCTGTAACCAAAAAAGTATGTGTGTGACATGTTTCTGGTAGACAGGGCTGATTATAGCAACACTATAATTTATGAAATAAGCACTAATACTTAATGTTTCCTCGATGCCAGGTGTGCTGAGCACGTCACACACATGGATCGTCACTCTCACACCACCCCATGCAGTAGGTACTCTTATCAGTGCCCTTTTGTAGACGAGGCAGTGGAAGCCCAGAGAGGTTAATGACTCGTCCACGGTCACACAGCTGTTAAGTAGTGGGGCTGACATTTGAGACTGTGGTTTGACTCCACAGGCACCACGTATTCTGTTTCTAGAACACAGAGAGCCATGGGGTGGGGGAAGAGGGGTGGGGAGGGGGGTTTCCCTCTGGCTGGGAATCGTGAGGAGGGAGAGGGATGGAAGGAAGTATAAGCCTGGCTCCGAGACAGAGCAAGAACCCCATCTCAGACCCCACTTGTGCTCACCGCTGTGCCCCTGATGACTCACGTGTTGTCAACAGGAACGTCCAGGAACTGACACCAAGCTCCTCGTTCTGGCTGGCCAGCCCCTCGAGGCCAGGCTCCGTGTCCCAGACGGCCTCGGCCTCCGCCTCGGCCCCGCTCCAACCCACAGCCACTGAGGGCAAGTAGGTGGGCTCAGAGCTCCTGCGGGACAGCTCCTGCAGGGGTCCTGGCTGGGTGGCGAGCGGCTCCGAATGGCGGCGGCCCCAGGGCGCCGGGCGCAGGGGCTGCGGGTGCTGGTAGCTGTGCGGAGGAGAGCGGGAGGAGACAGGATGGCCTCTCAGGGCCCGAGCTGGCTGGGCCTGGCGCGTGGGGCCGAGCGGGGAAGCATGGCCCACGAAGGGACAGTCCTCCTGCGCCCCCGCCCGCTCCCGCTGGACGAGAAGCCTGCTCACCTGCACCCATCTCCGTAGCTGCAGAATCCTCGCTGGAAGTATCTGCAGACCGGGGACGCCTTCCTGTCTTGAGCAAAGTGGCAGCTGGACCCCGAGTGACGGGGCCCTCGGGTAAAGGTCCTAAAAGATCATCAGGGTCAGTCATTATCAGTGAAAGAGAGGCTGTGTGATGGGTGATGGACACAGACTCCGGAGTTGGTTCTGTGTTCAAATCCTAGCCCCACTGGGTAACGCTGGGTGGGTAACCCCTGAGGTGAGGGGCTGTCGGGAGGGCTTTGAAGATTTTGCACAATGCACATAGCAGGCCCTCAGTAAATCACAGTGCTTGCTATTATTATACTTCCTCCGAGCGCTGGTACTGTGGTCCTGGAGTCAGATTCTGGGTTCAGATGCTGGTTCCAGAGCTGGCTTCGGGGCATGGATCTGTGCGGTCATGCGCTTTAATGCTCTGCTGTTGCCGCTTTGAAATTATTAAATTTTTTTTTTTTTTTAAATATATATTTTATTGATTTTTAACAGAGAGAAAGGGAGAGAGATAGAGAGCTAGAAACGTCGATGAGAGAGAGACATCGACCAGCCGCCTCTTGCATACCCCCTACCGGGGATGTGCCTGCAACCGATGTACATGCCCTTGACCGGAATCGAACCTGGGACCCTTCAGTCCTCAGACCGACGCTCTACCAATGAGCCAAACCAGTTTCGGCTGAAATTATTAAATTTTTGAACAAGGGGCCCTGATTTTCATTCTGTGCTGGTTTCCACAGGTTGTAAGGCCGGCTCTGCCTGGTATTTCTGGGGAATGCAAGTGTGGACAAGGCATGCAAATGAGAAAATGCGTGTGAAGTACCTGGCGTACAGTAAGCCCTCACTAAATATTAGCTGCTATCATCACTCCACTGTTATTGCTACACCCACACCACCACCGTCATCATCACTATCACAGGGGCTTCCGAGGATCAGGGTGTGGGTGGAAAAGGGCAGGAGGAGGTTGAGTTGGGCAAATGTTAATGAGGGTCTACAATGTACCCAGGCCTGAGCCTGGAGCAGGTACAAGGGGAGTAAGCCCACAGGTGAAGTGACAAGGGCATCAGGGACCAGACAGAAGTCAGATGCTAGTCCCCAGAGAACACAGACTGCTGGCCCAAGCAGAGGGTCTGCCGGAGAGTGGCCCGCACCATTCGCCAGGCGGTCAGAGAGTGAGGCCCTGGCTGAGAAGCCAGCGGAGGGACTGAAAGCTGAGTGACAGGCACCCTCTTTTTGTTGTTGTTAATCCTCACCCGAGGATGTCATTTCATTGATTTTTTTAGGGAAAGTGGATG